CCCCACTCTACACACACAGATGCAGTGTAGATGAGTACTGAACGACTTTTCTGAAGATGGCCAAAGAAGCTGAAACTAATTTGTTAAAGCTGACAAAAGCAGAAAACAAGCTGAAAAGTAAAATAATGTGAATAATAATAATGTGCTGCTCAGGATGGGAGACTGTGACGAAGTTTCAACACAATCTGCTGCCTTCTTTAGATTTTTCATGTACAGCATCCTGAGACGTTTGTTGTGACTTGGCGCTAAATTAATAAATTGAATTGAACTGAAACTGAATTAAAAGTAGCAAAACAGCAGCTAAAAGACAAAAGTTTCAAAGTTGAAAACACAAGCTAAATGCGTAAATTTTAAATTTTAAAAAAGACTATCTTAAGGGTAAATTTAGTAAAATGCTTAAAGCTTTAATGCTTATGGCTTAAAGCAGAAAACGTCTTGCAGTTAACTAAAAGTTCAAAGCAGCAAAGCAGCAAAAGATTACCTTAAAACTAAAAGTAGCTAAATGTACATTAGAAGTAGAAAAAGGCTAGCTGAAAGCCAAAAGTAGCAAAGAAAAACGGAAATACATTAAGTACAATTAAGCAGACTAAAAACAACATAACGTTTTTTGAAGGGCTTTGAGAATTATCAATGTATTTCGATGGAGAATATTTAAATAATGTGTGAAAAGTTCAAAATACCAAAAGTCGAAGTACAAAATTCTTGAATGAGCTGATAGTTTTCATATGAATAAATGGGTAAAATAGCACAAAATATGCGGAAGTAGTTTGTGTCCAACCTACAGATAAAGAAGAAGAATAAGGAGAAACAGGATCACAGTGGTAAACGGTAAATGGACTGTACTTGTTTAGCGCCTTTCTACCCAACCAGGATACTCAAAGTGCTTCATACTACAATTTGTGTCCTCATTTACCCATTCACACAGCACTCTACCAGATCTCCTACAAAGCTAACATGAACAATCAACTATGGAGACTGACCAATGGCAATCACATTCATATGCTGATGGTGTAATTGTCAGCCTGGCTCTTACAAAATGAAACAGATCACTGTTGTTACTTTCACAAATTGTTAATGTTTTAGCTATTTTCTACATCAAAACTTCTACTGGATGTTAGTTGCTGAAAATAATTTAAGGTGGAAATGGTACGCACAATTTTCCAGCAGTGTGCTTTACAGATAAGCAACAGCCTGAAACCAAAAAGCCCCGTGGTGACAACAAAGACTTAATTTATCATAAACCATGAAGGCCTTTGTAGAAATGTTTAATTGCTGGCAGGAAATGTAACTTGTAACATGTCTACATCAGCTCAGCAGTGCAGTCTGGGAAAAAAGAAGAAAATTCCCAAGACACTAATGTTCAGAACTGATCTGTGTATGAGTTTAGTATGGGATTGTGCCTGGCAGAAAAACACAGGAGGAAAGAAATCATTTCTATCAATTAGCAATGGTCCAAAAACAATGTTTCCTTGTGTTTCATTGTGTATGAACTGGTAGATGTGGGATGTGAAACCCACTTTTGGATAACCCCTTTGTTTGAGATCTGACAGATCCCAGTGGCATCCCTGTCAGAAAAAAAAGTGTGTGTGTGTGCGTGCGTGCGTGCGTGCGTGCGTGCGTGCGTGTGTGTGTGTGTGTGTGTGTGTGTGTGTGTGTGTGTGTGTGTGTGTGTGTGTGTGTGTGTGTGTGTGTGTGTGTGTGTGTGTGTGTGAAGCAGATGACAAGAAGGAAATGGCCAAAAATATATAGAAAAGACTAAGTTTTCTCCACACACACAAATAAAATAAATAAAACCACTCCAGCTCTTGTTTGAAAGCTTATCTGTTTTAGCATGAATATCCAGACTCCCAGCATCCTTTTTTTTTAACCCAAAACAAGCAGCTACAGGCCTGATGATATCTGCTTCACTGAGCAGTATAAAGCGAAAGAAACATCCAAGTTTTAAACTCATCAAGATTCAAAAATTTAATTATGCCCTCAGTGCCGCAACATGAAAACCATCAGAGTTCTTTCTCAAAACATGAAAACACGAGGGAACCAAAGTCAGATCCTCAGCTCTTTCAGCGAACAGTTAAAAAGTTTTTAAGTAAGCCTGATGAAAATTGACACATTGTGAGACAATTACACACTTCAAACTAACAATAGTTTGGTATTTTGTTATGTTTAGGTCATTAGTTTGATTGTAGTTTTTTAACTAAAGCATCTTTAGGAATAATGTACAAATTCTACTGCAAGAGACTGCATGGATGAACGACACCAACCATTGAGGACCTAAAAAGCTTAGTCTCCATTTTCCCGATAACTCTTTACTTATCTGTCGCTTCAACTTTACATCAGCAGAAGAAAAGTTTCTATATCCAATTTTTTTTCTGAAGCCATGTCACATCTTCTTAAATAAAATGCTATTTACTTTGAAGTCGGACTCGGTTTACTGCAGCATCTTTAGTGATGCGTGACTGTTCTCCTCGATAGCTTGAGGATGACTCATACTTCCAAGTCAACGCCAGGATCTCCAGCTGAGGGCATTGTTTGCGTCTGGAAACACATCAAAAAAGAAGGAAAGAAAAAGAAAAAAATCCAAATGTTTTTCTTCTTCAGCACTTTATCAACCCCCCCCCCCCCACCACCACAGATGTGTTTTACATTTCAAATGCCCATAGGTATGAAAATGCTCCTCTGCGTCGCCTTCACGTTACACCTCTTCAAGTAAAAGTTTAAACTGATCAATGTTTTACCTGTTTGCGTCTGAAGCAGGGATGAGCAAATATTTGATGGAAGAGCCCACAATTTCTTTTTGACTCTGCCAGAAGGCCACATAGCACTCCACATGTAATAAAACTGCCAATTTTTTTATGTTTGTATATTTACATTAAACCAACAAACAGGGCAGTAACTTCACATATTTGACCCATCACATCAAAACGAGGTTTAAGTCCAAAAGTGGGATGTGGAGAAATAGGCAGATACAGGGGCTTTGATTTAAATGTGCAAAAATTGCATTTTGTCAAAATTTAATGAATTAATGCCTTATCAATTATCATTATCATCATTATCATTTGAATGGACTGTCTGAAATATAATTCTAAAAATATTTTGAAGCCTTTTTTTGAGCAGTAGCAAAAAAAATCTGATTTTGAGGAAAAATCACATTAAAATTTAGAATTTTTCCCTGTGAGCAAGTACAGTAATGTTTTTGTTTGTTGTTTTTTCCAACTGGGAAATCTTAATATACAAATACTATTTGAAGTTTCCTCTTTATATTGACATAAAAATTACTCATTAAATTTACATAAAATTAGGATTCAGACCAAACAGTAATTTATTATCGTAACCAACAAGACAAATTAAGTCATATATATGGATTTACTTTTATCAGAACAATCCAGGTATCAAAATGTAGCTTTTAAAGCCAAGAATCTGAAATTACTCATTTAATTTACATAAAATTAGGATTCAGACCAAACAGTAATTTATTATCGTAACCAACAAGACAAATTAAGTCAAATATATGGATTTACTTTTATCAGAACGATCCAGGTATCAAAATGTAGCTTTTGAAGCCAAGAATCTGAAAATGTAATTAGGTCATTTTGACCAAACTTGACTTAATCCTCATTTCGATATGATGGGTCACATATTTCATGCTCAAATGCATGTTTAAGAGTTGTTTAATAAATATGAATATATTGATGCAACAGTATAAGACACCTCGAGTGTAGAGACTCATGCATGTTTGTGGTTCTGGTAAAAAGCAGTTTTTTATGTACTTTCAACTTCAACAAACCTTTTTAGCTTTGTGCAACTTTGTAGTGATGTCATGACTTGAGAATATTCAAATCCTTCATGGCAGACAGCACCTCTAGGCAGAAACACAGGTTTGCCTCGGCTCAAGCTGCTAGAGATGGAGTGGATGAAATAAGAAAATAAAGCTTTTTGGTACTAGGTTTAACTTCTCAGTTTTTAGAAATTCTGGTAGTTTTGGGAGGTGTGAATGCAGAGGTTCAAACTGAAGAACATTTGTTGAATTTCTAAAAAATGAAATGCAAAAAAATACTCTGCTCATCCAATTAAAGACAAAGCTTTAACGGTTCACTAAGACAGACACGTTTATTTAAAACACGAGCGCATAGGAAGTGATGAAAGTTTAAATACTCTCAAAGCAGCTGTTTCATTAGATCGTTACGCCTCAAACGCAGTAATTTAGCAAAATGTTTTTTTTTTTGAAATTGTCTTTTTCTGTAACAAAACTCCACCTTCCATAAAAATGACGTATTGGCAATAAAAACTAAATGCTTTTAGAGAAACTTGTGAATTGCCTTCCTTATGTGCAGTGAACAGAAGCAGCAGCTCAAGTAATTTGTGCATCAGTGAAATTAAAATAAGAGAAATAAAATGTGGCATTACTTCAAATGCAGTAGATGGAAAAATAACATTTAGGAGCTTACCCTAATAATGTACCGGTACTTACTATCAGTATTTCAGTAAAATTACTTACTGTAGTTACAAGCCAAATAAAATTAAAGTCCTAGCATTCTCTGAAGAATGTAATTCACTCCTGTGTTCAAATCAAGAGAAAACTCTGAAAATTATAGACCATATCATGAAATGTTGGGAGATCTTGCAATATCTGAGTATATGTTGTGGATAAGTTTCAGCAGCTAATAACACTAAATTATATCTACAATAAACATTTGGAAAACTGACTTTTTTTAATCAGTTGTAGTGTCCATCTTGAAATAGGCTGAAAACATATCACTTTGTATTATAATTTTAATGTAAATATTTTAAAGTTTTACATCTACCCTTTTAAACTTAAAGCCATTAACTCTCAGCCGTTCAAACTGAATCAAAATGTGTAAAATCTGAATATAAACACTGACAAAATGTGAATTTAAATTCTAACTGCAATGCTTTTGACATAATAAATTGAACCCCAGAAAAAATGTTTTTTTTTTTTTTTTGTGTTAAACCAGCTGCTGAGTAAAGGAAATGTACACACATCAGAAAGAAAACAACTTTTACTTCTAAAACCAGCATGCAACAGTCATGATAAGAACAAAACATTTCAATCAGGTGTGAAATATTTATAAAAAAAAATCGTCCTGCATCATCTTTGGGACTTTTACTGGCATTTTAAATCACAGTCACCTCTAAAGGCGCTAAAGTGAAAACTTGACATGCTAATGGAGATAATCCTCTACATGAGCAAAATGCAACAACAAAAGAAAAAAAACTATCAGGCCTGAAATTATTTTCCTCCTAATAAAGTTTTTGTTTTGTTTTTCCCCCTGATTTTTGGTGGCAGGCTAAAACTTGAAGGCTTGCACTGTAGGAGGGCTTAAAATACAGAACATTTTAATTTGACACAAAGCTGACCCAGAGAATGTCCCACAGAGTGAAGAACAGCTTCAGCAGCAACAAGAAAAAGTGTCCCCTAAGTCCCAACTCTCTAGTCTTTGTACTCCGTGTACTTTTTGGCCGAGCCGTGCACTTTACTCGCGGGATACTTCAGTCTGTTCAGGGCCATTTTACGGAGCACGGCTTGGGGGAGGTCCACGCGACACTTCTTGGCGAGCTCCAGCAGATAGATCAACACGTCGCTCAGTTCGTGCTCCAGCTGTTCCCGCTCAGACTCGGTCCAGTCCGGCAGACCCTCCGCCACCTCTCCGCGCCACTGGAAGAGCTCGGACACCTCGCCCACCTCTCCGACCATGGCCAGAAGCAGGTTGCGGGGCTGGTGAAACTGGTTCCAGTCCCGCTCGTCCGTGAACTCGGCCTGCATCCTCCGGATCTCCTCCATGGTCGGCCCCGGACTGAAAGTGAACCGCTGCGGCCGGACTGTAGAGTCATTAGAGTGGGTCTGTAAGTCCGAGGCTGCTCCGTTCACAGAGGCGTCTTCTTGTAGTCCGCGTGAGTCCTTTCCGTTTGTTGCCATCATATTTGGCAGAGTTTTTCGGCGTTTCTTCGTCAAAACAACTCCGTTTGTTTTCACCACGTGAAGAAGTCCCGCCGGTCCAGAAAACGGAAGTGACGCATTGAACATGCGCCTTTTAAACCAAATTTGTAGTTTTTGGCTGTAAGCAGCGCCGCAGTCGCACCTATTGAACGTCACGTTAAAACTACAATTCCCATGTTTGAAAGACAAACATGGCTGCCTCCTGTATTGCTGCAAGCGAGCTGCTTCAAAATATAAAACAAATATCGATGTTTTTTTCAAAGAATTCCTTTATAATTCGTCGAATTAGCACTTCAAAACTACAATGCGACAAACAACATGAGCTGAGAACCAAGAGGTAAGAGAAAAAGCCTCCATTAGGAATAAATGTGTTTACTTGAAGTGAATGTACTGTATGTCTTCTGAGTTGAATGCTGCATGTTGGTGTGTTAGTGATGCAGTGTGCACATCAAAATGCTGTTGAGGAGGGGAAAAAAACAACTTTTTTTTCTCAACAGCTGGACCATACATGCATACATACAAACAGTAACTAAACAATATTCTGGTCTGAGGTCATTACAATAAATTTTAGGCATAGTAGTAGCAGTGATGTCTGCACAAACAAGTAACAGTCTGTTCTGACAAATATCAGAAGCTGTTTAGGTTGAGGACGACACTCATCTTCATCAACAGAGAGAGGGTGTCCAGCATCAGGGTCCTTGTGGTACACATCTTTGAGGATATATCATTCAAAAACCACTGCACAGGTGAAAAAATGCACAGCGGCTTTTAATTCTGATGAAAAATTTGTAAATAGAAAGAATAAGAAGAAAAAAAACAGACTGCCACAGGAGAACGTGGTAACTTTTTACCGCTGCTCCATCAAGAGCATTTTAACATAATGCATCTCCATGTGGTTCCTTAGCTGCACTGTGACTGACCAGCAGGTCCTCTTGCATGTGGGAACACAAGTTCCAAAGCTGACTGCAACACACAGTGCCACAGGAGAACAACCAGCATCTACAAAGACCTTACTCACCCATCACTTTTTGAACCTCTGCCATCATCATTGCTGCTCTGAACAAACACAAATATTGACAAACAATTGGCACTTTCTCCAATAAACATGTTCAGTTCCTGACCACCTCCCCCTTCACAGACACACCTAGCTATTTCTGCACAGCTATTGTGTATATAGTACTGGTTTTATTTGTTTTTATTCTGTTACCTGCAGTCTTTGTTCTACATCTCTGTTTTATTTACATATTTTTAAGAATCACCTACTGGAGCTGCTTTGTTTTGTTATATTGGTACACTGCATTGGCAGTGAAGATGATTCCATTTTATGCTATTTAGGTTTTTTATTTGTTTTTATTTATTTATTTTTTTTTTTTTTGGGGCGGGGCTGATCACCCTCCACATTATGATGGTAAAGTCACCAAAACAACTCAAAGTTGTTGTTCTGGGAAAACCAACATCCTACATTCAGTATGCAGTAGGGTTGGGCGATATTGGCAAAAAAAAAATCACGATTAATTGTGGTATTTAGCCTATAACGATTAATTTGACGATTAATCCCCTGGAGTCCCTGGACACCCTTATGCCCTAGTCACATGACCAATTTAGTGGGAAATGTTTGCTCTTCATAAAAAACTGTTCCAAACTGTGTCAAAAATACAGACTTCAGGCTATACATCAAATTTCAAATTGTGTTGATAGATAAATAAATTACAGAATTTTTTAAAAATGTTTGTCAAATTTGAAGCGGAGAGGAGCATCGAGCAGACCAACCAGGGAAATATCCAGTCAATCTGCCTGGTGGCATTAATCGTATTAATTGTCGAGTGCCAAAAAATAATCGATTAATGTTTTTCTGACGATTAATTGCACACAATACGATTATGCCCAACCCTAGTATGCAGTTGGATTGACACTTGGAGCCCTCCTACGTAACAGCGTTAGTTCTTCTTTTTTGTTTGAGGTTAAAAAATAGTCTTGATGATGAGACAATACCTCCCTAAAGAAAGATTTGCATGATTGCATGTGCTTCACACAAACTGCTTTAGATTGGCACTTTGCTCTTCACATTTTTTATGCTTTCTCACCTTTTTCAGTTTTAGTACTTTTCCACTATAAGTACATTTATTGGTGGTATTTAAGACATCTAATTGTAAAGATACAGTGGTTTGCAAAAGTATTCATACCCCTTGAACTTTTCCATATTTTGTCACATTACAACCACAAACATAAATATATTTCACTGGAA